ATGAAGATGCAGACAATCCTCTATATCATGCAAGTAATCTCTATGAAAAAGTACAATATCCGATGGATCCCTTGCATGATATCTTGACTCAATCTTTGTTAGGATGATTTTTATAAGCTCAACTACCGAAACACATAGCAATGCCAATGCCATATGGAGGTTAGGGGACAGTGACAATTTCTCCCTTCTTCATCCATCATCTCAGTTTTGATTTTAAGTTTGCCTCTGACTAAGGGAATCGTTGGCATCAATATCATTTTTGTGGAAGTGTGAATTGTCCTTTACCCTTTAAACGTTTGGGTGACTTCATTGGTCCCTATGAAATCATTGAAATTTTCCTATCAAATCAATGTATCTCAATCGAAATGAAAATGACACAACTGTCTCACAGTTGTACTCCCCTCATTGGCAATGGCTATTGAAAAATTCTAGTAACTCTGTCAAAATTTTTTATCATTGCAACCCAACCACATTGTCAATTGGTCCTTCCCTCAAACTTTGAGTGTGGCTTGAGCCACGGACAACTTAAATATTCTATTTGTTGCATCCCCCTAAAGAGCCTCATAATGAAGTTCCTCAGTAATTTTCATGGCTCCTACCTTATCTTCAATAAAGCCTATGAATTTCCAAAATTCTGTGAATTGAGAAATATGCAACCTCTTGAACACGACGAATGAAGTAATTGTCTCAAGTGAAATGCGAGAAAACTACTTCGAAAGAAATTCTTAAAATTTGTAAGAAAAAATCTCATTAAGAGTCCTGATATAGAATCTTGATTTTTATAAGAGGCTTTACCTCGGCAATCTCATATGAGAAGATGTGTGTCAATTGTTGCTCCCTCTTCTCAGCAATTCTCTACTCACAACAAGATGTGGGTAAAATCTTATTCACCATCCGAGTAGTACATTTCATCAATTGTTGGAGAAAATGATAATGCTCTTCCATAGAAATGCCTCTTTGATAACATAATCTAATGGCTCTTGTAATGAGGTATAAGGTTGCTCTATGAATCTACTCTAAGATTCCTTATATTATCTTTCCAATCCTTCCCTGCATCTCAGCTAGCTATCATGTAGTCATAAGGTATTAGTGCTCCATGCGGGGTAAAGTCTCTAGTTTGCTTCTCTATGATACTGTTTGCATCTCTTCTAGTTTTTGTCACAGATATATCCTCGATACAATTTTGAGTATGTTAGATCCTAAATTATCTGTGAAATGCCACAAAATCTTACTTGCAATAAGTGAATAATAGAAGAGAATATGAGAGAAAGAAGAGAGGAAATTTATAGTAAGAAAATATGGAATAGATTTGAGTACCAAAAAATGCCATGAATAGTGTAAGTTTGCATAACATTGTGCAACCTAAGCTTTTCCTCAAACCTATTATTCCTAGGTTGGGGTCAGAGTTTGATTGCTACAAAGAAAATCTACATATTGAGTTATATAAAAAATAAAAAACAAAACAAGATTTAACGGTTAAATATTGTAAAATATATGAGAAATGTAACACACTCGAGCATTTAAACTTGTAGTAAAGTAGTTAAAAAGAAATCTCTAGTCTCACCTGAGAAATTCACCGACTAGTTCTTAAAAACCGGGGCAACCATGCTTTAATTTAATCAATTTAATGATTCCAACCTGAACTCGGCAATATGAGTTTGGTAGTTGCAATCGAGTTCATAGGATAATGGACTAACCTAAGCAAACTCATGTCGACTTGGCCAAGTTCATGCAATTGGGCCTCTAGGATCTCTGGTGTCCAGGGTGTTTGGTTGCAATATATCTCTTCCCTTCTTTTCCTATGGAATAGTAGGAAAAGAAGGGAAGAGAAACGTATCTTGTCACTACTGTGACTCAAATGTCAAATCTTTACAAGAAACAAAAACTCAAGCTCTCATCAACTTAATGCAAAATTGAAAAAATGCTTGCAGCAATTTCTCCAAAATTAAATTGGATGAAAATAATTTGGGGCATTTAACTTCATACCAGTCAATTCTTATGTATTTACATGTCTAACATCTATACTTATTTAATTTATACCACCCAAATCTTTTGTATAATATCAAAAATATCACAATATTAACTTTTACAAAGTGAATACACCTTTTAAGCATAAGTAAGGTGGTATTTATGTAAAAATTGAAGTTTAGGTGTTAGATATGTAAATACATAAGAATTGAATGGTATGTATGTAATTTTCCAAATAATTTTCAATTCAGCTCCACCATTTCAATTTCCTTTATTTCCTCTCTTTCAGATCCTTCTAACCAAATAGGCCATAAACAGTGACCGCGTCAACCTTTATAGTCCATGCAAAAAAATTAATCTGACCAAAAGTTATACGACAAGCATGTTCCCCACCTAGCAATCGGCCAGGCTTTGATATCATCACAAATACAATATACATTTTTCTTGTTGATGCCTGGCGAAACCACAAAATATTTTTACAAATTTTGGTTTCTACCAATTTTCAACACTAAAAATCAAGATTAACTTTCATAATTTGTGTTTTGCAGGCCCTATGATCAAAATCTAATGAAAACGAACCATTAAAGTTTCACCTGAGAAGACAACAAACTACCAACACGAGCATTCTTAAGGCTTTGAGGACAAAATCCAACATAAAGGAAAAATTATAATTCTACTCGAGTGAAACACAACCTAAACGCACACATGCAAGCACCCACATATATTTTTTATGCATGCAGGTCTATAAATCCACAGAAACATATTAACCCAACAGACATATCAATAAATACAATAACTAGCTGGATTTATAGGTTACGAACAAAATAAATCAAAACATGAATTCCAATTGAATTCAGTAAGCACATAAAGTAAGAAATCATTTTTAGTGAAAAATAAATGACATAAAAAGTAAATCATACCTCATGTGAGGGGTTGATGCCATATGGAGATCGAAGCCTGCCATTGTGTTGACACAATATTTTCAGTAAAGAAAGAAGCAACTTTAGAAGTAAACCATTTTGGACATCCATGCCTGAAGATTCACTTCTCGTTATCCTGTCATTGATCCATTTATTTACATCTTTGGATGCTGCACTCCCACCAACAAGTGGCCCAGGAAAGGAATCATGGCACAAAGCATGAAAGTAACCAACAGAAGTGTTTGAAAAGTCTGCTTTAGTCATCACAACATCCACTAAGGTATGAATCAACACCACACCTCCTGCACTTTCCTTCAATGCATCAACAAAAAAAGATGAAGTCGCAGAAAAGTTATAGAAAACTAAGAACGATAAATAGTTATCATATTAACTTGAACATATTGACAATATTGCTCCAAAACAATTAAATTGAAAGCTCTCGAGCATAGAAAAATAAGTTAAAAGCTCACCTGACTTCCAGAAACCGAACTTGAGTTTGAAAAGCTGTCATCTTTCATGACTATAATCTTTCCACCAAATCCAAAAGTAACCAATGCATGTGGAGGACGCCCAGCTGTTGATCTCACTTCATTAGGAGTACATGAAAATTTTGAATAAATAGAATTTGCACACAGCTTCACGTTAGGGTGATTAACGTGATTAATGCTTTCTGAAGAAACATAACTCGAAGCAGAAGTCAAGTTGCTTCTGCCATAGTTAAGCTTCACAATGGGTTCTAAATTGATAGAATCTAATTGTTTATCTGGATGACTTCCTTTACTAGTTTGCTCCTGCCACATGCTGGGAGGACCATATCCTCCGCCAGAAGTATTCCAATGACCTTTATGACCAGTCTTCTCCTCCCACCTGCTCTGTTTATTAAAGCCACTAGCAAATGCATTCCAGTCACTTTTTTGTTGACTTTTCTCCAGCATTGCTGATTGGCCAGATTGTGCATGATTTCCATATAAGTGGGGGTGTTCATCTATGCTCAATCCAGCTAAAACATTCGCATTGTTAGTCAACAACCCTTGAGTTGCATTTGAAGCATCATGAAGAGCATGATTATTCGACTCAAGAGTGTGCCACATTTGTGAGATTGTATCATAATACCATCCTGGATATTGAGGATCAAACAGCATACTAGGAGTGTAGCATATGCTATCTTGAGGACCATGATTATTGCTGTTAAATACACTGGTCTTCTCGGATATGGCTTCTAAAACTGGCTGACTAGTCTGCTGAAGATTCACAGCATCCAATATCTCCTGTACAGGTCCTTCAAAGGCATTCTGAACTTTATCTAAAGCATTCACATTGGCAGCAAACTGGCCCTGAGTCACATTTGAAGCATCATGAAGGGCATGGTTATATGACTCAAGCGTGTACCATGATTGTGTGACCATGTCATAATACCATTCTGGATATTGAGGATCAAACACCATATTAGGAGGGTATTGATTCCTATTGTTTAAGACACAGCTCTCCTCAAATACGGTTTCTAAATCTGGATGACTAGTTTGCTGAAGATTCACAACGTTTCGCATCTCCGATGCTGATACATCAGAGGCATTCTGAACTTCAGCTAAAGCATTCTCATCAGTAGTCAGTGATGGACCTTGAGTTGCATTTGAAGCACATTCAAAGGTGTTATTATATGATTCGAGAGTGCACCACATTTTTCTGATTGAAGCCATTAAAACAAAAAAAATACGCCTTTTTTCTGACATTGAGTAGCAAAATACGGATGAGGCCGAACAAAGGAACAATTACCGACGTTGAAGAGGGGAAGTGAGAGCCGAGCTGGACAAGAGACGGCGTAAAGTAAGCAATTTCAGCAGTGCATCAACGTTTTGAATCTTCTCAATCCGTCATTGTTTTCCCAGCCCTTGTGATTCTTCTTGTGCATGTAGAATCATGTTGACCCCCACACGACATTGAAAAAAAAACGGCGCAGTAATACGGAGAATATTCCCCTCTGTTATTCATGTGTTATTGTGTGTTATTCATGTGTTATTGTGTCCTGTGAATATTCGTGATATTATAATAACACAATAACACATCAATAACACATGAATAACACACAATAACACATAAATAACACGGGGGAGAATATTCTCGTGTTACTGCGCCGTTTTTTCTCTGTCGGGAATATTCTCCGTGTTATTCAGGTATTATTGTGTGTTATTCATGTGTTATTGTGTCCTGAGAATATTCTTGGTGTTATAATAACACAACAAAACATCAATAACACATGAATAATGCGTAATAACACATGAATAACACGCAATAACACATGAATAACACAGGGGAGAATATTCTCCGTGTTACTGCGCCGTTTTTTTTTCCCTGTCGCTCAGGATGTCGTGGTGTGATTTCATTGGCCAAGCACGTTACTTCTACATGCATAGTACTGATGTAATATTTTTTCCGCAATACAAGATTAATCCAAAGAACTGGTTTAATTAGGTACCTGAACTGTAACTGAATTTTAATTTGTTAAGAGACAAAAAAAAAGGGAAATTTACATTGCATGCAACAGAACTCCCATGTATTTACATTTATAACCTTTGATGCAATAATTTATGCATGAAAAAATGAAAAACATGCATCTTACTTTTTAATAGTTAGTAAAAGTGATCATTTTGATGTAAGATTAAAGCTCTAAATGTTAAGTTTGTAAATATAAAAGTTTTGCTATTTAGTTATGGGAATAGATGAGAATTGTCTTGTATTCATGTAAATGCCCAAAATGAAAAAAGGAAGGTTTTTTTTTCATAAATAAAACTTAGTGGTCGTATGATAAGGGCATTAGTTGGTAAATACGGATGAGGGCGAACAAAGGAACAATTACCGACGTTGAAGAGGGGACGTGAGAGCCGAGCTGGACAAGAGACGGTGTAAAGTAAGCAATTTCAGCAGTGCATCAATGTTTTGAATCTTCTCAATCCGTCATTGTTTTCCCAGCCCTCGCAAGTTGTGGGCTTCTTCTCCCTCAACAGTGGAGCAATACAAGATTAATCCAAAGAACTGGTTTAATTAATTAGGTACCTGTACTGTAACTGAATTTTAATTTGTTAAGAGACAAAAAAAAAAGGGAAATTTACATTGCATGCAACAGAACTACATGTATTTACATTCATAACCTTTGATGCTATAATTTATGCATGAAAAAATGAAAAACATGCATCTTACTTTTTAAAAGTTAGTAAAAGTGATCATTTTGATGTAAGATTAAAGCTCTAAGTGTATAAAAGTTTTGCTATTTAGTTTTGAGAATAGATGAGAATTGTCTTGTATTTATGTGAATGCCCAAAATGAAAAAAGGAAGGTTTTTTTTTTCATAAATAAAACTTAGTGGTGGTATGATAAGGGCATTAGTTGGCTTAATATATAATATTATTTTTATATATTAATATTAGGGATGTCAAACTGGCCCGTTGTTCGCGAACAGCTCGTGTTCGGTTCGTGTTCGGCTCGTTCGTTAAGAAACGAACATGAGCTTATTTCAAACAAACTAAATTTTAAACAAACCGAACACGAACACAAACTTTGTTCGTTCGTTTACACCCCTACATATAGCCCCTTGATGGGCAATTTTGCTACAGAATAACACTTGCATAACACACAATAACACAAGAATAACACGGGGGAGAATATTCTCCGTGTTACTGCGCCGTTTTTTTTTCCCTGTCGCTCAGGATGTCGTGGTGTGATTTCATTGGCCAAGCACGTTACTTCTACATGCATAGTACTGATGTAATATTTTTTCCGCAATACAAGATTAATCCAAAGAACTGGTTTAATTAGGTACCTGAACTGTAACTGAATTTTAATTTGTTAAGAGACAAAAAAAAAGGGAAATTTACATTGCATGCAACAGAACTCCCATGTATTTACATTTATAACCTTTGATGCAATAATTTATGCATGAAAAAATGAAAAACATGCATCTTACTTTTTAATAGTTAGTAAAAGTGATCATTTTGATGTAAGATTAAAGCTCTAAGTGTATAAAAGTTTTGCTATTTAGTTTTGAGAATAGATGAGAATTGTCTTGTATTTATGTGAATGCCCAAAATGAAAAAAGGAAGGTTTTTTTTTCATAAATAAAACTTAGTGGTTGTATGATAAGGGCATTAGTTGGTATTAATATATCCTAAAAATCCTAATTAATTAAATAATATCCATAACCTTGTTTAGTAAATCCGAGATTTAAGACAAAATCGTGAAGTTATTGAGAATAAATTGGTTTTACTAAATTATATATTTAAATTTGACATTTTTTTTCTTTCAAACAAGATTTTAAGTTAAATTCTAGTTAAATCTATTACCATATAGCCCCTTAATGGGCAATTTTGCTACGAGTAGGATTAAACATTCGTAGGATTTAGCAATATTTGGTAAATCAATTGAATTCTTCGATTTAGGATGTAGTTCTTAATAAAGCCAAAATAGAATTTAAGGGGAGTCGAATTTATGTGTGTGAATTATGTCACTTGCCTGGATTTATCATAAATCGGGCATAATTCCTATGTAAATTATTCTACCAAACAACTCTCAATTTTTAATATTTATATTTTTGCTAATTTATCTTTGTATTTTAATCTAGGCTAAATGACTATATAAATCATATTGAATAGTTTAATAACATAATAAAAAAACATCTTTTATTGATTTTATAACTCTAGATTTAAAGATATGTTAAAAAAAAAAGACACTATAATACTCTTGTAAGTATAAGGTTGTTGGAGCCTCAAACACAAGGTTATGGTTCTCTAAAGTTTGACTTTAGCTCACGATTGTTCAATTCCCTATAGATAACAAATGTTATTTTCTTTGTTTCATTTTCTTTTTTTTTTTACCATACAAGATAGATTGAATATTAGTCAATTACACAAATATAATTAATAATATGAGCATGAATAGCCTAGTTTTATTAAGTTTTGTATCAGTGTTAGGTTTTATTTTCACTTCAACACGGGGCCTTTGAATGTCCTATCAATTTGAAGATTTTGATTGTTCAAATATTTAAGCACGCCATCAAAAGTAGCAAACAACCTAAAAAGGTAGAAGTACAACTTTTATTATAGAAATGATTATTCAAATTAAGAAAATATTAGATATTTGCATCGGTCTGCTATTAAACCCGATAGATCATTTTCCTTATCTACTATGAAGAATAAATATGGTTTAGATTAGTTCTTTACACTGGTATGCAATTGAACCTGATAGATCATTTCCCCTATCAAATATGAAGACTAAATAGGGTTTAGAATAGTTTATCTTTCTATAAGGTTAAGCCTCTATAGTTAAATACATCTTAAGCAACTCAAGTTACTTAAAAAATACTCTCAATTAATGCTGCGGTTTTATCCTCAAGAAGTTTCTGAGTTTAGGTTTCCACGATTGGGGCATTGGATTTCCAAATGGGAAAGACTCAAAAGTTGAATAGTTGTTAATCAAAAAAGGGGAAAAGTAGGGGACACTCAAAGATACCAAGATAATCTCAATAGTATTTTGAACTATCTTATTTTTTTTACACTTAATGTTTTTGAAGAAGAATTTAAAGTTTTCATCCTGATGTTTTATTAGAATGCTAGGACTAATACTGCGTGGCATACAATCATATAGAAACCTAAATGTATGGATATATGTTGTAACTAGGTTGATAACCTCGGAGAGCTAGGGCGAGGTTCACCAAGAGAAGTGAAACTTCACAGCCATAACCTAAAAGAAGGGAAACATGGAATGCAATTGACTTGCAACCCTGCCCGGAAAGGGCTGGCATCTAAGCCACCTATCACATTCAAAATCATGCATGACCAGTCTCGATGATACAGGATAAGGTAGGTTGTTATTTATAAGGAGTAATAGTTCTCATGACTTGATAATAAATCAAGTTGCTTAAGTATGTGTGGTATGCATAATGTCCTAAAATTAATGCAAACATTTTTCAAAATTTTAAATTTAAATGTTTTTTATCTCACAACAATCAAATGTTTAGTTTTAATTAGTGTTGAGTGCATCGAAGCAATCTATGTAATGAGTTATACAAGTCATTGATGTTGAATGCATAAAAGATTTGTTTTAAAGTCTGTCAGTATGTATAGGCAGTATTCTCTCTTCTAGGTAGTGGTTCTCAAGGGTCAAACCAATACTTTATGTGCAATGAGTGAGGGCCTGAAAATAATGAATAGAAGCAATATGTTATGCATATGTCTGTAGAAAAATGTAGCGGGCAGCTTTGTCAATTGGCAAGTTGAGTCCTCTGGTGAATGACAGCGACTTTATATATGCTTAAAAATACAAGAATTTAATGTTGCTGCTAGAAGATTTAATTCCTCAGCAACTGTACCAAAAACTTGACAACGGTTATAGATTTGATAAAGATGTATATATAAAATATTCAATAATGGTAAAGTCACACTTATCAACGCAAGTATATGTATCACTCAAGTAATACAAGGCTCTAATGGAGTCCTAGATATCGATCCCACAGGGAGTAACATTAGAGGCTACGAACTAAGATTTTAGAAAATCAATACTTAATCACAACAATATAATTCAATTTGTTTATCTGTCACTAATAGGCAATTGAAATAAATATGTAATTTTAATAACTCTTAAATAACTAATTCTACTAATAAAGTTTTTAATGTGAA